TCGTTATTGCTGAGGTTTTGATATTGTTCGTTGATGGTAGCTCTGTTGTATGAAATACCGGCTTTGCCGTTGTGGCGTCTCCCGTTGGTATAGCAGATTTGATGAGGGTAGGTGAGGTGATTGGAATCTGTGTTGTTGTTGTTGTGTTTGGTGTTCGATTAGTTAATGTAGAAGTATCAAGATTTCCCGTATTACCTGCCAGTGTTTCTGTTGTGGCATTTGTTTGAGTCATTGTAATAGTGTGTTTATGTCCATAATTAACAGTATTTGGTAATGAAGTAGACCTAGGTGATCTAAACTGAGTTGTGATCTTTGTATTTTGTTCAGTAGTCGATCTGAAATTTGACGCAGTATTTGCCAGATGGGAGGTTTTATTGTAATGTGTAATAGTTGGTGCTGACGCAGTTGCCGTTTCAGTAGACGTTATATCCTTTGTTGCAATGTTAGGTATCGTAGAATAAGTGGATGTGAAACGTGACTGTAAAGTTGCATTGTGAGTCAACAATTCTGAAGTTTGAATGTGTGTTGTGATATTTGTTCGTGTCGCTGTTGTAGTAGTGTTATGTTCATAGCCAACTGTGAGTGGTGTCGTAGTAGGTCTAAGTGATGTACTGACTTGATTCTGTGTGGTAGTATGCTCAGTATCTCCATTCTCTGTTGTAACAATTGTTGTAGTGACGTCAGACTGTGGCGCACTGGCAGTGAGGAGTTCAGAACTTGAATTTGTCGTCGCAATGTGAGGTGTTGTAGTAGTGGCAATATCAGAACTATTTTGAGCAAGAACTGTTGTAGTGTTATGTTCATAAATTACGGTGTTCTTTGTGGTGGTGAATCTAGGCTGAGTTGTAATAGCCGAATAAGTCGATAAATTACCGTCTGAATCAGTAGTGTAATCCGTTTCAAGTTTGGTTGTGCCTGGAAGTCCGGTAGATGCTAAATCTAAAATATAACATGAATACAATTATTGTAATAAAATAAAAGAATTCGCTGAATATCGTTGGATTTAGCCATTAGTATTAGTATTTAGATACGCTATTCATAAAAAAAATATATCATAGCGTTTACAGAGTTGAATAATGATTTGAAGCAATAAGCTCAAGTTAATTTTGAAAAAAGATGTGTTTTCAGTAGTTTTTTAAAAAATTCAACATGGATGACATTTTTGAAGACAAATATATTTCTCCAGGAAACCCGTAAAAAAGGTATTACATGTAAACATCATTATGTTTTCATCACTGAAGAAAACATACAACATAGAAATAATTAAGTAAATATCTTTTTCATTGATTTAAATTAATTTCAATTAGGAAAAAACACTGACCGTTTGGTGTTTTCTTGGTA